CTTTCAGTCACTAATAAATGTAGTTGTTGATCTTTCTCTAATCAAACAGGTTACTTTTGCCATCTCTGCTAGTTCTGTCATCTTCACCAACCCTTCTTTCATTGTGGGTATTTCACAGTCTTCCATTTTTGCACATATAACAGTCTCGCAGCAGTAATCATATATAAAGATAATTTTCCACGGCTGTTTTCTAATTGACTGTCTATTAATCCCAACAAGAAAAGTTCTGGTTTCAGTTGAATATTGATCTTTAAAATTCTTTGTATCACTATATGTATTTGAACCCAGAAATTTTTGGCTTTTTTACAAGTCCACCAGGCATGATAAAATGACCCTCCATGTTGTCCACATTTCCAACATAATTTTGAAGTACTCATTTCTCATCTAACATTACATATGAAGCATCTGTGTTTTCAGATCTTTACCCAGAGACATCAAACCTAAAGCCAGCCAGAACTTTGGCCATTTCTCTTCCATTTTTGAAGTGTGATGAATTTGAAGTAAACTATGTGCATTAAGTTCACTGGAGGGTTTATCTTCCATTTTACTTATTATTTTGCCTCTTCTCCACAAATGCACACACAATGGGAAAATCAGGCTCCTGTTTATCTGGTAGTTTGCTGCTAAATACCTGAGGTCCTCAGGGGGCTCCAGTTACCAAACAAAAAAGAGCCAAGAAGCCACATGTTGACTGTGGATGATGCGTGTAGGAAGTTGAGGCAGTACGATGGACTCCAGCTACCCCTACTTCCACGGTAGCCAATCAGAAGCCCACAAGCAAAGCATAACAGCCCGCTCAACCTCTTGCCAGCTCCTCACGGATGCCTGACTAATTAATTAAGTGAGATATTGTCCCTGGACAATCCCCCTATGCTACTGCTCACCTCTTATACCAAGACTCTAACTTTAACCACATTATTCGCTATGTTAGTAAGCACAGGCTGCTCTTTCACTTCATTAAATTGCTGCCAGTACACAGAGAAGAAGTTACCTTAATTGGTCTTCCATCTGGTGTGAGCACCTCCTCTGACAGCTCCATCATCTTCAGGGCCATCAGGGCAATTGGCTTTGCATGATTCAGGTTCTGCCTGTGGAGCCCTGCGGCCACACAGTAGGCATCACCTATTGTTTCCACCTGCAGCAATCAGACAAATCAAATGCAAACTTATGATAATGAGTGGGGAATCAGCGCCATTCAGTATTTACGATCACCAAATACTGTTTAAAAACATGTCAGCCCAACATCAGTAAGAGAAGTTATTAGACAAAGGAGTATAATTACCCTCCAAGTTTGTAAGCAGGCACCATCAAATCCTGCACAGTTACTGCACAGTTACTTTCCACAGTGAACAAAAAACCATTACACCCAAGACAACTTCTACTACAAAGTGAGTTATAAGAGCTTATACCAAAAGGAAGTAGATTGTTTATCATTACTTGGAATACTGGATATGTAGTACCGGTGAAAAAATGCCTGTATGCTTCACAACAGCGGTTCACAACTTTGTTTAGATTGAGGTCCATGCTCAGTATTTATTTATTCTTTTATTTATGTTACAAGGCTTATAGACCATTCCAATGAGATTCAGCTCTGAGAGCCATACTATTACCACCTCCCCAACTCAGATTAAAGCAACCAACAAAATACAGAATCCCTATAATTCCACAATACAGGTAGTCCTTGCTTAACGACCACTCATTCAGCAACCATTTGAAGTTATGACAGCATTGAATGAGGAGACCTACAACCAGTCCTTGTACTTTGCAGCATCCCCAGTCACATGATAGCAATTTGGGTGCTTGGCAACCAGCTCACAATTATGACAGACACAGTGTCCTGCGGCCACATGATCACCATTTGTGACCTTCACTGCCAGCTTCCAACAAGCAAAGTCAGTGGGGAAGCCAACCGGAGGTCACAAATGTCAATCATGTGACATCACACTTAACGACCACACAGGATTTGTTTAACGATGGCAACTGGAACTGCCATAACTGCTGTCAAAAGTCAGTGTGGTCACTTGTCATTGCACTTTACAGCTATATCACTTAGTGACAGAGTTGCCAATCCCAATTAAGCAAGGACTATCTGTATCACATTATAGGACCAGGATGACACCACAATTTTTCTAACCATAACTAAAACATTTTCTGTTGATTTGGAAATGGCATGGAGATAGCTGCACTCCAGAAAGATGACCACCACTTTTAAGATTTTAAGTTTAGAATATGGTGTGGTTTGGGGTTTTTTTTGGGGGGGGGGATCTGAACTTCTGCTTTACAGAAACTTAAAGCAGACTCTGATAGAATCAATTAACTTACCTCTCTTAAGGAGAAATTCCAGATTTAAAAAAAAAGGGGGGGGAGTATGCCAAGCTGAATTGATTTGGATTCTTCTTCTTTAGTATTCAATCCCTTACATCGCAGGTTAGCAATTTGCAACATTAGTATTTAAACTGGTGCACAATCATAATTCTACCTGAAGGCTTGCAGATCAGAGGAAAGGCACAGGAGGAAGGAAACAATGCAAGTCCAGCCAAAGTATTTTTCTTTCTTTTTTATTAGGATTCCTGCTTTGAATTGCACTTTTAAATCACAGAGGAACAGAGCAAACACTTTGCAGACAAACTGTCATACTGTATCTCTCTTTGTTCATGGAAATACAGCTTTAAAAATACTGTTAGAAGTCCCATGTTTTTAATCAGAATAGAGGATGAAAGTCTTAATACTAGCTCAGGGCTACCAGGTGCGGGGCTGCAAAAATCCATATGGCCACTAGAGGGGAAAAAGGGAAACTGAATTGAATTCCTGGCCATATCTAGTAACATCTAGTGATTTTTACAGCCCAAAACTGATAGTCCAACTGTCTGAGATATGTACTTAGGAACATAAGAAGCTGCCCTATGCTCTGTGCTGGGCAAATTATTGTCCATCTAACCAACATAATCAACACTGACTAGTACAGCAACTAAAAGCCTGATGTATGATTGTTTTGTAGCTGTATCTGGGATTAATCCTCAGACCTTCTGAATGCAACATTCAGAGCTATGACTCTGAGGTCACTGAGCTACTGAGGTGCATGACTGTGTTGTTGTTCTTGTTAATTAAATGTATATGCCACCCAACTCCCAGCCCCTGACGTACTGCTACCACAAATTACTTAATGTGGTTGCCTATGCACAGATGGCCAGTTATAACACTCTCACTTTAATTCTAAAGTATCATTTGTTCCTAAGAGGACCAACAAACTTGACAAAGAAATCTGTTCCAGACATTTTGTCCTGAGTAAAGGACTATTCAAGTTTTTATTGATGGAGTGGTCTTGTATGAAATACAGTAGTTGCATTTGAACTCAGATTTTTCTTTTCTCTAAACAGGCATCAAAAGTGTAATGACACTTCTGACTTCTCTTATGCAATCTTTACTGGCAAGAATCAGAGAAGCACAGTAGGGCTGAAATGCTACTATTGCAGCTTGCTCCACACAGCAAGCTTGCTGTAAAAGCCTAACAGACTATTCAGATTTCAGCTGTATTTTTCTGTATTTTAACCCCCCCCCAATAAACCAATATATTGACAACTGAGCTTATATTACAACCATATCAATCCTACTTCTAGCAATGAGCTTCAGCAAAGCTGAAACCATAATGACATAGAAATAATATTTCAAGCTAATCCTGATCAACATTGGCCTTCATACAAGAATTCACTCTATAAATAGGAGTGACCCAACTGAAATTTTGTCTCCAGGTATGAAAAACACAACATGTATCCTACACTGCAGCTCTACTATTCCTTGGGGTAACTGGATAATGTTATAATCACTGAGTATTCCTTGAAGGCTATATATGCAGTAAACTAATCTTAAATGGTATATTATTGATATTGTAACATACATTGTCACTTACAGCATAGCTTAATCAAAGTTAATTAAGAGTACTCAGGTTGTACTTTTACTTGAAAGAAACTCCATTATGTTCAGTGGGCTTTATTTCTGAGTATACATGCCAAGACTTGGTCTAAACATTAACTGATTTGTAAAGCAAAGTTTTCCAAACTTTTAATAACCAAAACTCATTTTGGTATGGACTATAATTAATAGCAACCTCCCACACTGCAATTGCTATAAGTGACATGTACATTAAAAATTGCTATCATGTAATAACTATTCCTAGGCTGCACTTTTTATTTTCAAGACTGGTGAGGGGAGAGCCAGATGCTGACTAAGTTAAACTCCAGTAAATGTCTGCAGACAAACAGAACCATGTGTATATCAGTCCTTCAAGGTAGATCAGACTAGGAAACCAAAGTCATGAATGCTAATACTACTTTTATTACAAGATTATAGTAACAGAATCTTGCAAGTCTGAATGTATTTTGCCCCTCCCTCCTTTTATCTTCATGAGAATTAGGGAGGGACTTGTCTGAGATGCTTACTCGGATTACAGTTCTGCCCCAGATTCAGATTTCTTTTGTCTGACCATTGTCTTGGCAGCAGCTCTTCTTACTGTTCCTCAAGGTTATTCCTTCTTCCCATTACAGTGTACCCTGACTTATTTTAATTTAAATACTTCTTTAAGATGCATATATGTCATTTTTTCTTATACCAACTTCAGATCAAAGTGGATGACAGAAGTAGTGTTACCTGATCTGAACTGCAAAAGTCATGATGAACAGTAGGTGGCAGCATTTGGGACACAGAGAAATGTAGTGGTCATTCAGATTCATGCAATTCATATATACAGACCCAGACAAAAGAATCAGCAATGTACCCAAAAGCTGGTAGTAGTAAGTGTGTTATTTGGCTACCTGAAACATCCTCTCTCCACCACCACCTAAAATAACAGTTATGCAAGAAGACATATGTAGTTAAATGATTTTGCTTTGTTGTGGTTTTTTTTTTTTCATCCAGTTGCAGGAGTTGGCAGCTAATGCACACTTTGGAAAGATTTCACTGCTTAGTACTTGGGAGCTGTTCACAGTGCTGGAAGAGAATTGTTGCACATGATTTGGATAAATTCCATATGTAGTTGGTAGGGTAGGAAGCAAGCAGTAAGCTCCAAGGGACTATTTTCTGTCCACCTGTCATGGCTCTCCTTGAAAGGAACAGGAGCATAAGATCAGACCCAGGAGGCCACTGCAAATTTACAGCATTCAGGAGAGGAGCGGGACAGTCCAAGCCACACTGCAGAGAATATAGCTGCTGGTATGGATAAACTGTCCAAGCCACCTTCCATGGGTGTTTAAAAAAGTAGTATCCTAAAAGATGCAGTGCCTGCTTAGAAAAAAGGCTTTGCATGACTAGAGACTTTTCTGAAGGTTCATAAACTGCTAAGAGGTCTGTCAACATTAGAGTTGCCTCAATGGGTTAGCATATATGGGTTGCTTTTCAGCTAATCAATAGTATAGACCAGTGTTTCTCAACCTCGGCAGCTTGAAGATGTGTGGACCTCAACTTCCAGAATTCCCTAGCCAACTATTCCCCAGCATAGCTGGCTGGGGAATTCTGGAAATTGAAGTCCAGACATCTTCAAGCTGCCAAGGTTGAAAACACTGGTATAGACCAATGTTTCTCAACCACAGCAACTTTAAGATGTGTGGATGATGAGTTGAAGTCTACAATCTTAAAGTTGCTGAGATTGAGAAACACTGGTATGGACAATTAATACTTTGGGTTTATTAGTGCCAACTGTACCCATACATCCATGTACTTTGTTATGAACACAGATATTTATGTTCACTTAATTTTCCAATCAAATCTTGGACTGCTTGGGATATTAGCTCATTTACCCTTTGGATTGGTGAAGTTACTTTTTTTATTCTCTTTCTTAACCTTTGGCTTTTACAATCCAAAAGGATACAATTGTTGATAGTACTAAAAAAAACAGTGAGGCATCTAATAGGTGGCATATAGTGTGTATGTGTGTGTGTGTTTGTGTAATGTTGAAAAAATGGTTCCCTAGCTTTGAAGAAATATTGGGGAAATACTGGGGCAGGGCTGCCATGTTATATGGTGCAGAGAGGCATTAAAGATCTCCAACATGTCTGTCATCTCTCCATGCAAATACCACATGTTCATCATGCAATGCTGACTGAAGAGCTTCAGTTTGCCTTCCTGAATTAGACCTCTTTTCTC